CTGCGCACCCGTGCCCTCACGGTAAGTCAATGGGGGCTGCTCCCGACCTGCAGGTGGGCGATACCAGCTAGGGGACAACTGGTAGCATCAGGGACCATGCCGACAGGACCAATCACATGGACATTGGTCTCTAAGCCACAAGTATTTGTCCCAGTCATTTTGCAGAAACACATCATGCATGCTGGTGTGTTGGGAGGGATACACCAGGGTGCCAATTCGCTCGAAATCCAGCGGGTGGCATGAGAGTCCCCATTTGCCTGAATGGATTGGGGGCAAGGGCACCCTTGTGCATCCCAAGCCATGCCCCAACATGCACAGAGCATTTCGCAGCCCAGTGCTGCATTTTAGGGTTAGCTATTGATCCCACTATGCATAGTAGGGGAACTTTTGGTCGGGAATGGAGATCCCAGACTGTTTCTTCTCACGATCTCTTGTGAAAAAACAAACTGGTGCCGCGCAAACGCAGATGCACAACCATCCAGCAGCAAGAGCGGATCGCTAGTGCAGAATCTCAATCTTTGTTGTTCTTGAGGAACTTTATTTTTTTCTTATTGGTGATGTTTGTCCGCGCAGAAGCCCAATTTTATTTTCGAAGGCGGTGAAGCGCTCAGGCTTTGGCCTTGTGTCAGAATGTGGAAGGTTTTTTTTTTTTGTCTATGGTATAGTTGAACCCATGTTTTCAAACCGACAATCGGGTAAGGAGGCTTGCAACACAACGTTTCGAAATGAGGCATTTTTCGAAAGTTGAGAGACGAAATTCGAAAGGTGTACTTTTGAAAGGAAACTCCCCTTTGCCACACAGACTTTCGAAACTGCGAGGGCTTTCGATATGCACGTTAGTGCCTCGCTATATTGCTTTCGCCATGTGCGAAACGAGGTTTTGAATCCTCCCCTTGAACTTGGAAAGATTCACCACCATGATTTTTGTATTTTGTGCATGTCGAGAGTAGCGGAGCCAAGCCAGCATGCATGCGGCTACCGTCTGCATTCACCAATGTTTTTTTACCCTTCTCCGCACAATTTTTTTTTTTTTTTTTTTTCATCGTTTTTTCTTTTTCACCTTTTTTTTTTTTTACCTGATTTTTTTGTATCGTTCTACTGTCTCACTTGTTTCGATAGAAAAAGAAGGAAAAAAAAAATCTCACTACGTAGATCGGATTAATAAAATCGATCGTCGGTTTTTCATACAGCGTACTCACACTATAACATTTTTGGATGTATCTGACTGCAATTACGGTCCGCGGTGGTGCAACTGAATGCAATTATATTGAAAGCTTAGGAGAAAAAGTCCTCGTTTACCAATGGGCCTACCTTAGTTGTTACATCCACGAACTATTGAAATATGAATCAGACTTTAATTCGAATCCAGATACCAAAATATAACCTTAAAAAATTATTTCTGAATTCTCAGTCATTCCAACAATAATGATCTCAAGGTCATCCCCCTTTAATTAAATAATAATAATAATAATAATAATAATAATAATAATAATAATAATAATAATAATAATAATAATAATAATAAATATCATCGTCTGAGCATGCCCTGGAGCAAGGTCAACCGCTTTCTAAAGGATAGATCTTGGAGCAAGGTCCCGCTACCGGTAACTAAGAGGGTTGTATTCAACGCCTCAATCGAGATGTGCTTTGTGCAGAGATGCAGAAAAACAGATTAATCTCGATTTTATGCACCTCTACACAAATGCCGTTCAGATTCCGCTGCTAAATTCAATCCTCTTTGCGGGGGGAAAGTGCCCCAAGACTGAGCAAGGATGATAAACAAGTCCAAAAATGATTACCCCCCTTCTATTATTATGAGAGTGCTTCATGCTTTCCCCCCCCCCCCCCAAAAAAAAAA